AACATCAAGGTGGTACAAACATCAAGATATTACAAACGTCAAGGTAGTACAAACATCAAGGTGGTACAAATATCAAGATAGTGCAACCATCAAAGTGGTACAAACACCGGCCAGCGAAGGCCTTAATGACAACATTGCATTATATCAACACACCATACAGTCAATATCATTTCGCTTTAAAAAATGCATCACCTCTGCATTATTTTGATTTCCGTACTCCAAACTAACTCGACATGCCCTGGCCCGGGTTTACTCTGGTCTCAGCGACAATCGATTTGTGAGCAATGCCTTTTTGGGGGAAAACATGAAAAGACAACTCCTCTGGATTTCTGAACGTTGGCGTCGTGTTTTTCTTGTTGTTCCCCCCCACACCACCACCCCCCCCCCCAATCCACCCCGACACTGTCTTACGTTTTTGAAAAGAAAGAAAAGGTTACGATTAGTGTGCTACAAATAAAAAGGAATTTAAACTTGGTGTGCTATCAACAACACGGTTTAGTCGGATGTGCTGTCAATGAAAGTTAAAATAATTGTGCTATCAAATGAAAAAGATGAATTTAGTGTGCTATCACATGAAAAGGTTCAGTTCGATGTGATATCGAGTGAAAGAAGTTGAGTTTGGTATGCTGTCTACGAGAACTTCTAGAAGATATTAACTGGAACTGAAGGTACTTCCAGATAACTTTGACTGGATCTACGACCTTTCCCAGTCAAGTCACAGAAATGGTGATACTCTAATATTCAAGAATAAATGTAAATCAAAGTATTGGTTTAAAACACAATTTGAAAAGAGGGTGTTGAGGGGGCAGTAGGTGAACGAGACCATATAAAAATTGAATTGGCCACCATCGAAACAAAACGACAAGCTTACTCCTACCATTCTCTGCCAGGCTCTCTTGGACATCTCCCGAGCTGTGAGCCACAGGAACATAATATCGATTATTTGTAACCGTGTTTGATTCAGCCATCTTTACCGGCTGTCACAATCACGTGGCTACTTCCTCTTAAAAATAATTGACAGTTAAAGGGGGAGAGAATTAATTTCTGTATTTATAATGTGTGTGTGTGGGGGGGGGGGGG